ACTTGCTTTCCCGGTGGCGCTGGGCGACCTGGGGACCCGGCACGCTGGCGCAGAGCATCACCTAGGACTGTGGCCACCGCAATCCCCGGGGACTGGGAGCCTAGGGGCGTTCTCCCCGCAGCCCTGGGCCGCCCCTCCCGGGCTCGCGTTCCCGTGGCGAGCGGTGGCTGGGAAGCCACTGCCTCATTCTCCAGTTGCTGCCTCCCGAGACGAGCTGCCTGGGAAGCTGGGCACGGTGTCATCCCCCCCTCTCTCCCAGTAAACTTTATGTCCCGGAGGACGTCTGAGAGTCTGCACTCTACCCATCCTCTTAAGTGTTTATACTTTTTTTTTGGGGGGGGGGTAGAGGGGAAGGCAGGGATGCAAATTTCTTCAAGATCTTCTTGGCAGCTGCAGCCCCCGCAGCCTCCCCCTTCTGCTCACCCTTGCGTGCCCCTACCCTAAGGGAGAGGAAGGTTCAGAGATATGGGTTCTTGGCCAAGACTTACCTTTTGCCGCCTGGGTCCATCTCCCGCCCAGCTCGTTTAAGGCAACTCTCTGGTGCTGGTCTCGCCAGAGTGTGTTGGGTGGAGAGGAAGGATGCCTTACTAGGTTCTCACTTTAACTTCCGGTGCCGGTGGAGCGGCCAAGGGTCCAGCCCTTCCTGCGGTTCCTCCAGGACCGGCCTGGTGAAGTCCCGCAGGCCGCAGCTTGTGGGGAGGGACTGACGCGGGTACGCCGCTCTGCACTTGGCCCGTAGGGACGCTCTCTTTCCGTCCGGAGAGGAGCCTCTAGATATGAAAATTAATTTCAGTTCCGCTACAGTTGCGCCTTTCCCACAATCATACTTCAACTCAGAATCGAACCTAGTTCTTCGGTCTAGTGGGAGGGGGTTTAGGAAGGACCCGGGCGTGGGATATTCACCGGCTGCCACATGCCGAGGCTTTCTTTCTTTTACAAAAGAAAGAGAGAGAGAGAGAAACAAAAGGCAGAGCCCAGTCTGCTTAGGTGCTTTCAACCCTCGGAGAAAGGACAGATGTGCCCATTGTCCAGCTTTTGGCAGTTAAAGCCGGGTCAGCGCCAAGCCTCAGCCCGAGGAGAGCAGTGGTCACAATGGCAAGCAACAGTACAGAACCTGAGTTATCTGGGTCTGAAACAAATAGTGTGTTGTCTACGCTGAACCGAATTCAGGCTTTCAGATGCTGAGGAACCAGAGCGACAGTCCACCAGCCCTGTCTCTGTTAGATAGAATCCCAGATAATGAGGCCAGAACTGGGGTGGTGCTACTGGGGTGGTTGGATCCCCAACGCAGAAGTTTGAGACAGCCAATCTTTGGGGGAAGCCTTCCACCACCTAATACAATTAGCTGGCAGAACTCTTTGCCCAGATCTCTACAACCATCTGAGTAGGTCAAGGCCAGTGGGGAGGGTCAAGCTGAATTCCCTGAAAGTGGTCATGTGCTGGGATTGACTAATCTGTCTGGTTTCATCACCAGAGACACTCTTATTTTATTGAAAAAAAAAATCCTTATGAAAATGCTGCATATGGGCCTCCAATGGTTTTAGAGTCCACTTGCACAGTGAACATTTAGCAATGTGGGGTCCCCACAGAGAAAAAGGGAAGAACTCAGAAAAAAATTACTGTATTTAAATGTATACCCACACCTATCCATTCAGGTACACATAAGCATAAAACATTTTCGACTTGGTAAGTCTCAACAAGTGAGAGGAAGGCACATCCTTGAATCTGCATTGTTCTGCTCTCTTTTCTCACAGAATAGATTATGTTGTTGAGGCTCTCTTAGATGAGACCAAACAATGGCTTAAGTAACCACACAACCTTTAAACTATAGTGTTTCTACCTCTTCCACTTTTTGAATCCCCTTCAAAATGATAGATTTTCCCATATGGCAACTACCTTCCCAGAAGGCAGTTTGTTTAAAAAAAAATTTTCACACACACACGTTGCACAAATTGTTCATGGTTTTCTCCTTAAATAGCTAATTAGGGACTTGATTCTGAAACCTTCCTTGATTTGATCTTCTGACGGAGCCCCTGGAGGCCACCTGAAGAAGACTGGGAGAAGGTGAGCTCAGTGTCCTTCTCAGGGGATTGTGCAAGAGAGAGAGGCTGGTTTTGTCTTGGTCCTGGAAAGAGGAGCCAAAGAATACATCTGGGCATGCATAGTGTGTGTGAAATTTACTTGGTTTGGTGTGTGTCTTTTGATATCTCTCTCTCTCTCTCTCTCTCACACACACACACACACACACACACACCATTTTCCTTTGTCAATATCTCAAATTTATAATTCTTAAACATTGTTTTCCTGTAGTTGAGTAGGTCAGAGTAATTTTTCAATCTGAAACTACATTTTATTCTTATTAGACTGACTTCTTGGGAAATTTGCTTGTTCCTAAGAATGTTTGAAAGAGGTTTTACCTATGTTTTATTGACTATGCAAAAGCATTCAACTGTGTGGATCATAACAAATTATGGATAACATTGTGATGAGTAAGACTTCCAGAGCACTTAATTGTGCTCATTCAGTACATACATACATGTCAAGAGGCAGGCATTTGAACAGAACAAAGCTCTGTGGTTTAAAATTTGTAGTTTGGAATCAGGCAAAGTGTGAACCAGGCTTGTGAATAATTCCACTATACTTAATTCATCTCTGTATCTGAAACTGGACTGTATGAAGAACATGATAATAGGATTGGAGGAAGAGTTATTAACAACCTGTGATAGGCACATGACACCATCTTGCTTGCTAAGTGAAAAAATTTGAAGCATTTACAGATTAAGATACCATACTTCAGATGGTAAGATATCATACATCTTCTCGAAGAAGATAAACAAAAATCTATCTGTGGACTAACAAGCAACATTATGGAAAATGTTGAAGCGATTTCATTTCACTTTGATCAACAGTCAGCACCCATAGAGTCAGATAACATACTGTATTGGGTAAATCTGATGCAAAAGACATCTTTAAAGAGTTAAAAAACAAAGATGTCACTTAAAGGACTACGGTGTGTCTGACCCAAGTCATAATATTTTCATTTGCCTTGAATAATGAATAAAGAAGACAAAAGAAGAATTTGTGTCTTTGAATTATGGGGTTGCTGAGGAGTACTGCTAGAAGAATCAAGAAATGTGTGTCTTGGATGAAGGACAGCCAATATGTTCCTTAGAAAAGAGGAGGGAAAGACTTGCCTCAAGGATTTTGGACATGTTACCAGGAGGGCATCATTCTTGATAGAGAGTCAGAGAAAACTATGAAAAAAAAATTGATTGACATGGTGACTGCAAAAATGGGTTCAAATATAGCCATGGTTGTGAGGATGGTGCAGGAAGAGATGGTGTTTCATTCAGTCATGCATAATTATGAGTCATAACTGACTGGACAGTAATAACAAGGTTGTGTGACAGATGGAAAAAGATGGTCTTCTTAGGTCTTGTCAAGGTGAGTATCTGTGTGTGTGTGTGGAGGAGCACAAGGTAAATTATCAGCTGATGGAGGGCAGGGATTACTATTTGGCATCTTGTTCCCCTCCTCTGTTCCATTCTCTAGAGCCCAGCACAATACCTGACACCTATTGGGTGAGTTAAAAGAATAGAAGTAATTGAAAGCTAAGGAGGAACTCTTTGAAATTGCTTTGTAGGTCACTGTGTGTATCTCAGAACTGCTATACAATTCTTGAGATCAGGCAAAATGTTTGAGGGGAGGGTTTATTTTTAGCTGCTTTGATTTTGAGTGATCAAAAGGAATTTAAAGGGGGAAAATCCAGTAGTATTAATTATCACTACAAAATTATATATATATATATTAAAGGAAAGTAAAAGAATAAACTGAATACTTGTTACTGGCAGTATTTTTTTGTATGAAAATAAGAATTTTGAGCTGATTATTTTGTAAATGTTTGCAGAAGACCCTTGAAGGTACAGTTTTTCTGATTTCAGATTGATAGGTAGGCTAGAGCTTGATAGATCAGTTCACCAGGTTTAGGAGGGAAAAAGAAAATAATGCTGGCCACATAAGATTCTCTGAGAATGTTCTGTTCCACCCACCCAGTTCCCAGTTCTAGTCCCATTTTAGTTCTCTTTGCTAATAACGTATTTATCATATGGCCTAGTCCCAGTTTTCAGGGCCATTCTGAAGATAGGTTCCTAACCCCTCTGAAATATCCTGTGTTATTTTCCATTTGTTAGCCTCACACACAGCAGACCTGGGTGTTAGAGCAGATTCCCCTAACTCAATATTCCAGGTCAGGGCCTCAGAACCTAACTTGTGAGCATTGGTGCTATCTGTTGCTTGACTGGAGTTAACTACAAATGAAGGAACTTTTCTTTAGTTTCTGGTCCCTGCAGAGCACTTGATAATTATGAGGTGATAGATTTTCATCCTAAAGATTCCCTGCTAAACTCTCTTATCTTCCTTCTGGAGTTCTCCCATCTTGGAAGTAGTTTTCATCGAAAAACTACTGTTAGCTTAAATTGGAACACCAAGACATGCAGAAGAGAGTGAT